TGTATTATTTTAGAAGGTTAAACTAAAATTAGTAAACTGTAGAATTTATAAGCCAAGGGTTAAAAAAGTATCATTTGAGAGAGCTATAAAATTATTATCCACATCATAGGGAGCAATTACGTATTAACTATTTTTTTACTATGAAATTTATAGAAAAGTATTCTATATATCAGTGGTTGGTACTTGTATGTAGAAGTAGATTAGCTAATTTTCTTAATTGATTAAAGAAATTCCATTTATCGTTTGAATTTCTTTTTATTTAACTGCTACATTGGCTTACTCTTCAATAAGATTTTATTATTCTTAAATTGAGATTAAAAAAGAGCATTCAGATTTTGATTCTAGTTTGTAAATTTCTAAATTATAGCTATTTTCAAAAACTCCAGTTTTATGCAGGCCTAGTATGTGAAGTATATTTTTCTCAAATTGGTAGTTTAATATTCTAGGATATTAATAACTAATCTAAGCTATCATATTAAATTTATCTCCGTTAACGATAAGAAGTTCAAATCTATCTATTAAAAGAATACCGATGAGATTATCTATAAATAGCTTAATGTCTATTATAGTGTCTTTAAGAAAATCTTTTTTGACTAAAGCTACATATTCAATTTTAGTGCCAAGTCTATATATATTAATTTAAAAACTGCATTAAATAAATAAAAAATTTTGCAATATTATCAAATTTGATTGACTTTTTGGTAAAGGCAAATTTTACTCTAATTAATTATTTGAGTAATTCCAAATGTAAGCTTTTTTCTACCCATTAAAACAAAAAATATATCTTTGATTATCTTAATCAATTAAAAATTTTGACAAGGTAATATTAGGATCCTCATTAACTAAAATCCTTAAGTCTGTTGATTAAGTAATTTTTTTACTCATAATATCAATTTAAATAAGCAAGGCATTACTTGAAACAGTATATACTGCATATTTGATATCAGATATTTAAAATATTTAAATGACAATAATTGAAGTATTTTTAGAATCTTTTTAAGTGGTATTGTAAAAATAAAATTCTTAGCTTGTTAAATTATATTAAAGAAGTTAGCTATCACTAAATCCTACTATTATTAAATCTTAATTCTTATTTACACTAAATGAAGTAACTATTTAAGTTATATTAAATTAAATTTTGTTCATGATAGAACCTTTTAATAAATTTAAATGCAAAATTTAATGATCATTAGTAATTACAATATTATCAGTTATAGACTGTTAAAACTGGATACTGTCAAGTTAGTAAATAAAAGGGTCTTACTTTTTATTTTATCTTTATTGGTATTATTAATAGAACAAAATAGAGTCGACTAAGCCTAATATTAAAACATCATTTTTTTAATTGTATTTTATATCAATGATTCTTGAATTTATTGTAGATAACTCAAATTACAGTTTCTGCTATGAATATCTAAAGAGAATACCACCTTAATTCAAAATTAAATAATCATTTTATTAGCTATTAATATATAATTAGGTAAATAAACTGTAAGGTTCATTTAGTTATGGCTCATTTTGTTAACCTAATGAATAATAATCGACTTTGTACAGAGTACTTTAATATGTAAAATAAATATCATTTGATAAACTATCAAATACAAAGCTACTGGGCTTACAACATACTTAATAATCATAAGTTTTAAGATAGCTATAAAAAGGATATTTAGGGTCTAGGGAAGAAATATAAAATATTCCATCTTAATCTAAAAACATTACATAGTTACTTAAAATTTAATCTAAATAAAATTTGTTTATAAAATTATTATTACTAAGTGTTTATTTCATAATTCTTATTTGATTAATTTCTTTTTTAGCTGTAATATCATATACAGAAATTTATTAAATGTTATCTTTATGCAAAAATACTAAATAATTGAAGCTTTAAATAAATTCTATACCATCAAAACTTTTATATCTGATATGTTTAATCTAATTTTCAATTACTAAATTAAGCCTGTCAATTATAAGTAAGCCTAATATTAAATAAAAAGACATGATTAAATTAAAAAATAAAAATATGATAAAAAATTTAAATGAAATCATCTAAGATTAAATAGAGCTCAATAATACTGAGTTATTTCATAAATAATTGTTGTCAAAATTATCTTACAAAACAAACTAAACTATAATGAATATTTTTAAAAATTATTTTAATCTGAAAAAATTTTTAAGATGATTTAAAATAGTTAAAATTAAAAATAAAAAAGATTTATTTACTATTATTTTCAGATTCACATAACATTTTTTATGTAAAAAGTTTGCAAACACTATTAATTTTCTCAAAAGTCTACTTCAAAACTCCACTAGAACTGTAAACTCTATAATTTTTATTTACAACACTTAAAATATAAATATTTTCAAACTCTTAATCAAAAAGGGCTGAATAATCAGAAGTACTCTATCCAAGCTGTATATATTAAGTAAATTTTTAGACTTTATGATATATTAAAATAAATCCTTCTTCAAAAGAAAAAATGTCATTATAGCAAGCAATTTGAAGTTTAAAATTAGAACAAGCTAAGTCGTATTCTTTTGAATAATTAAAAATGTATTAAATAATATTCAGCTTAGTATCAAGGATTAGAAAGTAATTTACGCCATTAACTTATATAATATTGCCATCATCTTTAATAAAATCAAAATTATTTATATTAAAATCGAATTACTTTACAATATTTTCAGTTGTGTAAATATTTATCAGACAAATTGTGCTTTCATATTTAGCAATTATAAAATCATCATAGACTTTAAATTAAAAATTTACGAATTAATCATAATTATACATAATTTATGTGAAACCAGTCAAAATATCGTATTAAAATAAATTTTATTTTCCTTTTATATACAATTTTCCATTTTTTAAAAATGTTAATTAAGCATGACTATCATCTAATTTTAGTAATTAAACATATTATTTTTGCGCATACTAAGTAAATATAAATTTAGTAATTCCATTTCCGAAATAACCTATTTAATTGATTTAAGGGCTTTATATATTTTATATGTAATTCTATAGAAAAGCTGTTTAATTAACTGTATATATACCTATTTCTAACACAGTATTTTATTCCATATCAATTAAGTATTCTCCAATTTAATTAGGATAAAAATCATATTTTTTATATTAGATTTTCCCACTTTGGTTTACTTACTTTCTAATTTGAGTTTGACTATTAAATTTAAAATTTGATTTTATTAGATTTTAGGTATTCAAAGAGGCATTTATTAAAATGATCCCTTCTTAACCTTGCACAATATAAATTTAATTATCATTCACTATTTTATTTATTGATATAATATTTTAAATAATTAATGATTTTATTTAATATATCAATGACAGACTGAAGTTATAAATTTTGAAATTATAGTTTTCATCTATAATTGCTACTTATTCGATAGTAAATTTATTATTAATTTCGTCCTAATAACTAGAAAATGTTTTTGATATTAAGAATTATTTTATATTTGTTATTGTATTTATATACTAAATACTTTAATCTTATAAGCTTATTTAGTATACAGAAACATATAAACCAGACTTATCTTGTATCATAATTTTTAGGTCAGTATTTAAATACAAATTGAAGTTAAAATTTTTAAAGTCAATTTAGCAGTTCTTCAATAATACTTACATGTCAGAGGATTAAACAATTAAACAATTTTAAATAATTGTCACAAGCAAATCGTTATTAGTTGCAAATTGAGTCTGTTCAGTGTATAAAATATTAACTACATTTTTTGTATAAATATCAATTATATATCCTACATTTGATTCTATAGCAATTATTTTGTTGTTGAAGTATTTTTATATTGTCAGCAAATTATTAGAAATCTTTAGTTATTTTTAAAATTTAAGGTTGGTCACTTATGAGTAATCATAAAAATTGATTTCTTAACTTTCATTTAAATAAATTACAAGAGGTGGATAATAGTTTATAATAATAAAGTTTGGCAGTTCAGAAAAACTCCAATTTGAACTTTGTACTAATGTTGTTGAAGGATAGGCTAGATTAAAATTAGTTATTACTTTAATTTATATTTATTATTTTTGCTACAGTGAAAGATTTTTTTCTTTTTTAATTATTTAAATATAGGCATTGTCTTTAGTAAATAACTCATAAATATATTCTAGATTAGATGAACTTTAATTATGATATTTTGTTTGGTAGATTTTGTTATTTGTTTTATAGTTCAAAATATATTTTTAATTTTACTCAATAAATTTATGTAAATTTGAATCAAAGTAAAAAAAGGATAGGTTAACATTATCCCAAAGCACTGCTATTTGTATTTCATCACCCAATAAATTACAAATTTCAAAGTCAAAATCATGTTATTTGAATGCGTTAATTGAATCAGAAAAATTTGTTTGAATGTTAGTATATATCAAATTTTCATTAGTTTGTACTATTAAATATTAATTAATGTCAGAAAGTGAAGATTAAAATATTCTACTTTTTAGAATTTATTATGTATCTTTCAAATCAATTTAGATAGACTTAATTGAATTATTGTTTAAGTTAACCAAATATGCTGATTTGTCTTAAACTAAAATGTAGATTCCTAGCTAAGATGTGGACAGGATATCTAAATAGTAACTATTTTACTAAGCCTCAAATCTAAAATGACTCTTCATTTGTAAATTTAAATTTAGGTCATTGCTAGATACAGTTATCTTATAGACTATAATATTAATTAGATTTTGTATAAACAACCATTAATCAATATATTTAAATTTTTACACAGTTGTATTTATTTTAATAGAATTAGATAAAGCAAAACTTTAGTGAGCTAAGTCATAAAATATCTAAAATTCAGATTCTTTTTCAGTATAAATATTTATAGCTAGAACATAGCGGTTATCAATTGAGTCCATTTTAGTCAAAGAGTTTACAGAGATCATATTTATGAATGTTTTTGAAATTCTTGATCCGTTTTTAATATCCCAAATTGATATTAAATTATCACTTCCTATGACGAATATGGAGCTGTTTACATTAAATACTTAAAGATCTCTTGCTTGTAGTTTCATATTTTTTATAAGATTGAGATCATTTCTATTATACATAGAAAGTTAATCTTCTTTTTAAATTATATAGTAATTATCTTAATATATGAAAAAGTCTTTTGTAGAAGTATTATCTTTCAAATATTACTAAGTTTTTTTTTGGATGGAACATTTTAATTTGCTTTAGCATAGGTTGCTTTATTAATTTCTATAGCTAAAAGCACTGCATATAGCTACGCACCTGCTATCTAATATGTTGCTATTATTTTACCTCTAGTCAAAAAATAAATTATTACTACATTTAGTATAGATACAAAGATTATTTTTTAAATCCAACTCGAAACCTTCTAAGCATTTAGTGCAAGTATTTTAGTTATTACTATTAAGGCAAGTTTAACATCCTTCAGCGCATTAATTTTATGCTTCAACACTCAATTTGATAACTAAAAATACAATATAGCTCTTTAGTATTGCTGATTTAATTATCATCTGATATTCCTAATTTAATTAATAACTTATATCTATTTTGAGGAATCTAATTTTGTATAGTAATTTGTAAATAACCTTTTTAATTAAATATTAAAAAATTTATTGATGTGTTTTTCTCTCTCTTTTTATCTGTTTTTTGTTTTCTATTTTTTGTTTTCTATTTTTTTTAATTATCATCCTAATTTTGAGAATCAACTTTTTATAATGAAATAATTTTGAAATTTTTATTCTTATTTAATAGCTAAGTTCATTTTTTAGAGGAAAAACAGGGGCAATTTTGGATTACATACAAAAATTAAAAATCTACCATTCTAAACTTAACTTTTTTCATTAGGATGTAAAAATTATAATAATTACCATATATTTTATTTGTTTGTTTGATTGATTGATTGGTTTGGATGGCAGCTAAAGAAATACTTTTGTTTACAATTGAAGGAGTAAAATTAGTTTTGTCATAGCTTTAGTCATTGTAAAATCTATTTTATAAATTTTTGATTTTAAAATATAAAGACAAGAAAAAATATTTAAAAGAAAACAAATATTATATTTTAAAAAAATCAGCGCTTTGTGTATCTTTCAAATTGTAACTTCCTCTATAGTTCAAACTAATAAATCTTTAAACAATTTTAATATAGAAATTTATTTAATCATTTAATTTTATAAAAAAGCTCAATTTTTAACGTTGTTTTTATTTCATAAAAAAATTTAGCATATCAGATATTTTAACATTATGTCTAAATGATTTTAAATTTATTTCATTTTTATGTTTATGCGAAGGGTAAGCTTTTTGAAATAAATATTTTATTCAATATGTTTTCCTAGCTATGTCTTTTTTAAAGGGTAAGATTGTATGCTAGTGTTTCAAATTCGTTTTATTTATTGGTTTAAAAATTGATTTTTCTTGTTAATCAATATTTATTGATTAGAATTTTTTTTTAAGAGGATTACAATTTTTTAATTATATTATTTAATCTATTATTTAAATTATATTTTTAACTTTTTTTAAAAAAAGCTCTATACTTGTTTCTAGATGTAAATTATTTAAACAAAAATCCAAATATTTTAATGAATAAAATAAATTTGTTTTAGTTACAAAGAAGAAAAAATTATATATGCATAAAAATAATATAAAATCACTATATTTTTGATATACTCTCCTAAGATTCTTTTAAATAAATTTTATTTGCTAAGTTAAGTAAAGAATGCTTAAATATTAAAAAAAATTTAATTATATTACTAAAAAAACAATAAAAAAAATTATAAAATTTTAAACAATATGCATTCTGCTTAAATAATTTATAATCAGTTAATTAATTGAGGTTTTTATATTTAATCTCTTATGAGTACTTACTGAGAGCTGTCCATGCCCATGCTCAATTACTTGTAAATCTTATTATTAGCTTCTTTTATAACCTTCTTTTTATATATAAAATAAGTAAATAAATTTATTTTTTTATCTATAATTAATTTACTTTTTTAGGGTTGGTTTTTCTTTACTTGAGTTATTATTTTTCACGCATTTCTAATTATGTTTTAGCCTTTTAAAATATTTAATAACTTTTTTTAATTTTTTATTATACTATTTTCCATTTCATATATGTCTTATATTAAACTTTATTAAAATTAATTAATTTCTTCAGTTTTTAAGGCATAATTTTTGAGAGACATTTTTTAAAAATAAGAACGTATGATGAAGTCGAGTTGCTAATCATAATTCCTAACACAATAATCAAATAGCTATAAAAAAAAAATTAATCTGCTATTATTTATAAAATTTCTATATACATTTGAGTTTATGGTTTTTTTATTTAAATGAACCAAAAATATAGCTTCAAAAAAATAAGAGAGTATGCTACTATCTCGCATCTTTAGATGTTTAGCGAAATAAAGGGATTATTTTGCGATAATGTTTTTAAATAGAAGAATAAAACTACACTAATTGTTATGATAGCAATAATCGAGTTATAATTATTTAAAAGAGTGTATAGGTAAATAATAATAATCTTTAAATAAATTCTAACAAATTCCCAATAGTAATATTTGGGCTTTAGTTCTCCGTAGTAATAACCGTACTTATATTTAATTAAGCATTGATCTAATTTATTCTTGTTTTAGTTAATCCTCTTAAGAAATACTAAAGGAAGGAGACTCCAAAAAATTAACACCATAATAGAGAAAGGGTATAAATATTTAATTACATTTGTATCATAGCAATCAAATGAAGGATCTATTGGGTTATAAAGTTATGTTCCTACTTAATTGCAAGTCAGAGATTTAGTAAAATATGATATCTGGCTCACTTAGAAAAAGACAAAAATAATATGAAAAATTAAATAATAGTGATATTCTCTTAATTTCTATTTTGCAAAATCTTCATAAATCTTAAGTGTAATTGGAATAAAAATAAGCGCTAAAACAGGAATCAAAAATTAAATTTATGTATAAAAGAGTATCTTACCTAAACTTCTAATATTTTATTCACTCATCAGACAATCTATTCCTAAAGAAATTTGAATACCACCTGAACCAATTATGTCATTAAACAAATTTAAATTGATTGAAATAGTCTTTGGTTAGGGAATTAAAAGAGCAGATAATTAATAATAGTTTAGAATAATTTTAATGTAGAATCCAGAATAGTCTTATATGCTACTGCTACTAATTGGCATAATCTTCCACATTCTCAAATAATAACATGTTTGAGTGTATTAGAACTTTTTGATGAAAACTCCCAAAACATACAAGAAGTAAGCTTCTAAAATTACGATTTTTAAAATCATATAAACCCATTATTTAAGCTGTGATTCACAAATACCACAAACTCCTCTCTTGAGAGATTCTGAATATCGGGAACCTTTCCATATTTCTCCTAAAATATCACACTACTAGCAAATTGGTCCTAAATAGCCAGTTATGCAGTAATTAATACTATTTGGATTTTCTGCTTGACATGAATTTATAATAGGATCACATTCTATTATTTCATCTGTATAACTACTTTGCCTCCAAAAACCATTTTTTAATAATATTATATCTCCTTTACAACTTATAGCAGATTGAGGACAGTTAATACATTAATTTATATCTTTCTTTTCTTCTATAGATTATCTATAGAGTGTCTGTGGATCTTTTATCTGATAAGTACCTTCCAAGCATTGATTGCATTAATAAATATTGGTATTTATTTATTAAATAATTTCCCCTATTTTGCAGTTTCTGAATTCAATTGATAAGAGAATTGGTTTTTTAGTAATTGAGTTTGTTTGAATAGTTGAATTTATATAAAAGAATTGAATTTTATTTAGGTTTCCAGTAATCTTTAAATCGTTAATTTTAAAAGCGAATTCTTAAGAATCATATTCATTGTAATTAATAATATTTTATCCAAACATTTAGCTTTCGTTTTAACTGAGCTAAAAAATAGAAATTTAAATATTATTTAGCTCTTAAGCTATATCTTTTGGGTATAGGCCTAGTATTAGTTTATCTTTTTAGAAGCTTAGTAATCTATTTTACTCATCTACAATATATATTTTAAAGTTAATTAGTCCTCCACTTCTGAATTATCTTAATTCAGCATATCTTGAAAATTCATTCTAAAAATTTATAGGGACACTACTTTAATGTTTGTAAAATGTGAATAGTTCATCATTTATTTTATCGTTATTTTTAATAATAATATTTTATAGATATGATGTACTATCATCTCCATAAATTTCTGCCTGGTTATCAAATACATTTTCATAGAATGGAAAATTTTAAGGTAAAGTTAGTGTACTTTGATCATCTTAAACAATCCTTAATCCTCCTCCAATCAATGCTCTATTGTTTCTAACTATTGTTGATTTATCAAATATGACTAAACAATCTTTAATATTTTCAAAGTATAGAGCTCCTCCGCTG